AGAAAATATTTATACATTCAGGATTTTTATGATGAACTACATGTATAGATACTTGGGATAAATAATTGTGTTGATATAGGAGGGGGTGGGGGTTGTTGGGGGGGGGGGGCTTCATAAGGATGTCAGATCTCAAAACTGTCTCAGAGTTACTCAGATTTGTGTCTTTTCTTCCAAGTGCCAATGAATGTATACCGCATATACAGTTTATTTTTTGCCCTAGCTGTGCTCAATTTTCATTCTCACACTCTTTCAAAAATGAATTTGCCCCTTTAAAATCTGACCATACATGCTTGTGTTAAAGAAATAACTATCTTTTTTAATATATTGCCCCGATTTAGAATTTGCCAATTTGCAAAAAAGGCAAAAATGAAAGTGAAAAAAAGGGGGGGGGGGGCAAAATGTTGTCATATAAACCTGGCCATTATTAAAAATTTAAGTGAACTTTATTATTTAAAAAGATGTGTATATGAACAACATACTGTATTTATTTAAGGGCTGTGCAAAATTTTAGATCTCCTAGCTGATAAACTAAAAATCAATGTGATCTCACCTTCGACAGTGCTATGTGTATTTTCCTATGATGAACTCAGATAGATGTGCATTTGTTTTAGTTTATTTAAATAATCTAGCTCTTTCTTCAAGCTTTCTCTGAGTAAATTAAAACTTGTACTGGGAAATAGCATGGGTAAATCTCCATGCACTCTTAGCTGTTTACAATTCATTTGTTCCTTGATAATAAGTAAAGCAGCTAGAGAACAGTTTTAATTGCTCACTTTTAATGAATTTTAAATTGACATTCTTTGATTTGTCTGTTTAATTAAGAACTAAGATGATTTCTCAGTTATTGATTATTTCAAAGTTTACACAAAATAATACAATATTCAGGATTATAAATATAAAATTTTCTGTTATATGATGGCCACAGATTTCCCCAATAATGTAGTCCATTACACTCCGAGAAATTATTTTGCTAAATCGGTTCAGTTTGCTACGAATCTTCCATCAATATTAAACCCAATTCTTTGGAATAATGAGATATTGCCATTGTAACCTGCTAGCCCTAGGAAGCTGTCATAGACCAGTCTGCAGTGTTTTATTTGTTTTCTAGACTGGGGGCTGGTTACTTCAACAGTCCTCGATCTCTGTTCATTATTGTCTCCGTTTATAGCCATGGCTCGGATGTTAAGAAATAAGCCAGCAAATTGAACGTAGTTATCCCCCTATGGTGAATCTCATTGATATTTATATACCGGTACATTATGTAAGCTCAAATGCAATTGATATAATTTCTTTGGGGTTTTCGAAGATATTATAGAATGTCATTTTTTTTTTCCAATATTTTTATTTCATAGATTTTTATGCAATATTTTAATTAGTTTTAAATGAAGATATTATTTGCAGCAATGATGTTACTGGCATGTATATTTATAAGTTTGAATCTCAATAGGATTGACAATCATTTTTTAGACATTAAGCTTTAATCATCAAGCAAAGAATTTTTTTTTATTCCTGTTATTTTTTGTTATATGGAAAGTTGTATATATTTATGATATTTTGAATCAATGTGATTTAATTCATATTTCAAGGCATAGATTGTGGTCAGAAAGATTTTTTTCTCATTCTGATGATAACATTTTTCGTCCTGAGAAAAATACTTCATCATTTGATGATAATGTATATATACTGACATCGTTTTTAAATAAAAAGTAAAAATTATTTTAAATTTTCTGTTATTCAACAACAGGTTGGTTTAATAATCATTAGTACAAGTGCTGGTGATCTGAAGCACTCGGGCTAGCTGCACAGGCCTTTTTGCTGTTAAAAAAAAGTTGTGACGCAAAACTAACATGTAGTTTCACACACGACTCCTATTATTGCTATAATTCTCATGTACCATGGAGAGTAATTGGCCAATTATGGAATGAAAAATGAGGAAAATCTGTATCAGTTTTTATTGATTGTATGTAACAACACTGAAATGGTAGAAATTTAATAACAGACTTGCCTGGTGTCAGAAGATGAAATTGTCAGGAGATAATAGTAGGAGAAAGTGTACAATGTTACACAGACACCCACTGTTTTTGGTGAGATGGAGATTACATGAAATAATAACTTGCTATCAGAGAGAACATTCAGAATGGTGTTTTCTTACCCGATTCTGTTCAGAATTGTCAGTCTGGCTCAGAAGAACAGAAGGGAAAATATGCTGATTTTACCGGCGAAGGGGGAAGCTGTTCTACATGGCTTAGGGGTGAATAATCATCATTGTGTTGACAAAAAACAAGGAATTGGTTATTTAGTTCAAGGAAATGCTGTTTTGTAATCAATCCTTATGAAATATATCTTATGAAAGGGAAAAAGCTTCAAATCAAAGCAATCAGGAAAAATCAGAACAGTTCAGAAAGATATTTCAGTTGTGAGTTGAGTGCCAGTAGGTTGAAAAAGACATAATGGAGCATCAAGATGAATACCTAATCAGGGAAAATTCCATTGACAAATCATGAAATGTTTTTACTGCCAAGAAGGAGGGATTTTCATGGATATTGAAAATTACCCACAATGCATTTGCATGAATTTGATTGGTCAGATCATGCTTTAAGGTAGGTACCAAATTTATCTTTGTGATTGGCTGACAGTTTATGATGTCATGTGTAGACGACTTATTGTTTGATGTCTTGTGAAGATCCTGTTATTATCAATATTTCATTAAATTTCTCTTTCAGCTCAGATATATTATTTTTACTAAGAGTTTTATTTGTCTGTCTTTTTAATTAGAGGAATTGTTTGAGAAACAAAGTGACAACTCTCTGACAATATGTAGTAGGCAGAGCAGCTAACAGATTTCCAATACTTGGTTTTGTATCGTTATTTTCAGTTGATCTGTGTCTTAATACCAGGGAGGGTTTTAGAATTCATCCATTAACTCTGCTTTTAATAATAGATAAAAGTACAGCTATACGTGCCAGAATCTTGATCACAGAATCACAGAGAAACACAGCATTCTGCACTTTATAACAAATCATCTTGTCTTATCCAGAGATAACACAAGAGATTACAATTCAAAGAGAAAATTATTTCATACTGAACGTTTATTACCAGAGGTATAGAAGCAATTCTGACAAAAAAGAACTAGAGTTAATTTCCATGAAAATGAGCCTTTATAGGGAATATATAGAAAAACAAATTAGGTAGCTGGATAAATATAGAAAAAATGGCTGGCTCCTAAATTGGCATGTTTGGTGTTATTTGGAACTTGGCTGATCATTATTCTGGTGGAATATTGATGTCCGTTTACACATCGCGCGAGTCACTGACCACTGGCGGCAGTGGCTAGTCACTTATGAAAAATCCATTACGCCTTATTTGTTCGGCATCGTAAACAGGAATGAGGAGAAACAATCGTGAAGGCAGATAATTAATTTGTTCCCATTAGTTAAAATTCCTGATTTTATTAAGTGGACGATAGTATATTTATCTTGTTTCTATCAGTGTCAGGCTGTTGGGTTAATATTGAATAAATATTTGGAGAATGGTATTTGGTACAGTGTATGGTATTATTATAATCCATGTATAATGATTTGTTTGTATTTAATTAACAAACTGGTTACAACTTGTAAAATTGTAGCCAAGACTTGCTAAATAGAAGGGAAAAAAGTCATATGCAATGAATACGATAATTGCTCAATGATGTTAGTTCAAAAATTTATCATATGTGATAACCTTTGATAGGGATTTCCTGAGTCAGGTGGCCTTAAAATCATAATTTAATAGATGTACATACATGCAAATTATACAAACTTACAGAAGAGAAGGGGAGGGGGGGGGGGGCGTCACAAAGATTTATTTGAATTTTTATTGTTGAATTACTAAGAACTGTATGATGAATTTTACATGGGTATCATTTCATGGAGAGAATTCTGTGCTGATATATGTCATGTACAGGTATTCTAGAAGAGAACTGTTTGTGAAAATCTTGATATGTTTGTCCATTATATAAGATTCTGCTACTGTTCTGAAAACGATGCCAAATGGAAGGGATTTATTAGATAACAGATTGTCTGAGAAAGACTTCAAAGTATTGAAAATCAATATTTCTTCCTCCAAAAGTCTGAAGAATTCCTAGTTACTGTTAACAGTAGGAAGTTAATATCATCAGCCCAATCTTTTCTTTTGGAGATTCGGATTTCGAGGGATAATGCCATGTTCTCTGTTGTTCCAAATTGATCTCAAATTTCTCTTTTCCATTTCTTGAAACTCAATTAGCAGTTCTAATCGAGGCATATTGTTGAACATTATAGCTTCAGTGCTTTCAGCTTATTTGGTATAAAAAACAAATGTCATTGTACTCATTGTTGACAGGTCTCAATTATTTTTTCAAATTTCAATTTCTTAATCTCCATGTTATTAATGAAGAATTCTTTTGGAAACAATTAACAATAGCAAGTTTTCCAAAGAGTATTCTTAGAGTTATCAATACTTTATTACAAGTTGTCTCAACCATATTGATGCTTTTCTACTTAATAATTATTTGTGTATTGTCAATTTGAAACCTGACTTTTTCATTTACTTTCACTACTTTTTATTGTTAAGAATAAGGTACTTATTCCTAAAAGAAAATAAATGAGGAAAAAGATAAAATAGTATTATGGGGAGATGGCAATGGGGTGTATGCTTCTAAAGCTACACACACAAATAGTGAATTGTCAGGGACATCCAGAATTGTTTAAGTCTTGAGTGACCATATTAACCAAATTCAATATTTTATTCGATTAAAAACTACATGAACTACTTGATAAGAAATATTACTTCATTATAACAAGGTTTTGGATTTATGCCTAATTCGCTAGAAAGATATTTTACTGTTTTTGATACATGAAGATTTTACAGCTCTGTAGCTGAAAACAGAAACTTTTAGTTATTTCTTTATAAATTTATGAGATTTTTACAGAAAATATACTGCACTGGAAACTAATGACATGAAATCTTTGCTTTTTGTACAGATTTACCTCCCCCTTACCCAGGCTTTGCCCACATTCAGTCCTCCCCCGAGCCGCTGGAGAGCTACGGTGCCTTTGGAGACAGGAAGTTCTCGGCGCCTGTCCTGGGCTCCAATGATATGCGGGGCATAGACCGACAGGAAGATCATCACATTGTCCGAAGCGATGAAGTCGAAAACATTCCAGAAACTGTGCAGGAAGAGCCCGATCTCGAGGAATTCCCACCCCCAATGATAAGGTACCACTCACACTTTGGATCATTTATAAGATTAATATAGGCAAGAAAAAAAATTCTGTGAGTAGACGGTCTCATAAAATGATGTGAATATAAAGTTCTCCTGAATTAAAGTGATTAACTGTACTGTATTTCTTATGCATATTTCTTGCACTCAAAAGTTGTTTTACAGTATTTTATTAAAATCTTCTGCAGTCATGATGGGCATTTTCTAATTCTAAAAAAATGATTTCTAATTATCTTCTTAATGTCTGTTTTATTATTTACAGGAGCAATACTGATCTCAACAGAATGTCCCCGCTCCCCGTGGAGACCCCCATCGTGTATCAGGAAGAGGACGACTACCCTCCCCCACCTCCCCCACCACTGAATGAAAGTGACCTCCATCTGACCCCTGTGAACCATAGGTCAGTCCCACCTGAGTCTGTGATTAATCAAACCGTGATAGAGGATCATGGGATACACGGCAATGTTAGTATTCTCAGCTCCTCCAGGACGGAGGATTCTGAAGATGATCCAAAGAAGAAAAACAAGGTATAAAGTTGTGGCCTAATTTAAAATATGTTTATGGAACAAGGACTCTTTTTTTGTGGTGTTCATATTTAGTATTGCTAATCTTGCCAACTTGGCAACTTTTTAATTCCAATACGATTTAACTCTGCTTCATGCCCATTCTCGATATTCTACAACTTTTTCTGCACAACATAGAAATTTAAGTCAGGTGAATTGTTCTATGTTGTATATGTGTTGATATATTTTTGTGTTGGTCATTGACAGAGACACCTAGTGGACAGAGCTTACTACATTGCCAAGGAACTCCTAATGACAGAAAGGACCTACAAGAAGGACCTAGAAGTCATCACCATGGTAGGATTCTCTTATAAGGATTTAGTTTAACTAAAGCAAGGAATGTCGTACTGAGGATTTAGTTTGTACTGAGATTTAGATACTGTGACAACCTGTGTTGCTAAGTTTGTCTACAAAGAATAAATTCATTGTATATGAAATATCTCTGAAATAACATTGGCCCAATACCCCAGGTATGTTTATGACTTCAGTAGGGCTGAAGCAAGCATGTCGTCATTTCTATTATAAACTGACATAATGTATTTTTAATTTACACAGTGGTTCCAGAATGCTGTACATTTTGAGGAGGGATTGCCGGACTACCTGACTAACTTGTTTGTCCATTACGGTCCTCTGTACGACTTCCATTGTCAGTTCCTTAAAGAAGTGGATCAGCGACTCTCCATGTGGTGCGTAGTCTTATTTTATACTATTATAGCATGGTGATGAGTAGTTAGAATGATCTAACTGTGTCTCGGTACAAGCCCTCACCACAGTTAGAATACGTCCCATATATTTGCAATGTAGCAAATCGGAGCGGATCCGCTCCGAAACGATTTTGAAGAACATAAAAGGATTTGCATTGGGTATAACTATCAAATTAATCAAAACAAACCTTTCTGAGATTGCTTATGCCTTTTATCCCAGAAATTAATCCATCTAAAGATGAAAATCCAATTAATTTTCTCAACGTTTTTCTCTCGCTTCAAATTTACCTGCCATGTTTACATTCAGAACGCTCTAGATTGTTCGTAGTAAATGCACTGAGTTATAGTGAGTACGAGTTATCACCCATGTTTCTTTTGCTACATTACGAATACACGGAACAAATTCTATTGTTAAACCGGGTCCGTAGGACAATATCATTCTAACGATAGAACGTTCTAATCTAGGTGTTGAGGTCAATCTAGGGATGCAGACAACCAAAGCATTTGTTTGTTGTGAGACTTTGCTTCACTTAAAGAGAGCTTTCGTTGCATTGAGCTCTGTAATCTGATTACATACGCTTTTACAGTAAACCTTATATATTATTCAGAAATCATGTCTTATGTATACAATGTAAAGTTTAAGTCCATTGCAGTAAATTCAAAAGTTTTATATGTTGTCACTAATCTGGGATGTTGTCTTCTCTGCTCTATTCCTTTGGAACCAGAAATGTGTGGATTAGTTTTACTGTACCTGACAATACATTGCAGCTCTTTTTTCTCTCTCTCATGAAAACTAGAAAAGTTTAGTAAGACTGTTTAGCACCATACATTTTTAAGCCACATCTTTTATCCATGTTGAAATATCCTGCGGGGAGCCTCTTAACAACTGACAGTATCACAGATGACTCTAATGACTTTAGAGTCACACATTGTATCATATTCCACAGAGAGCTGAACTGTCAGATAGCGATCATATCACCAGAACAATGCATTTGAAGTTCATTATATTCTATTGATTGTGAAGCTAATTTCTGAACTCAGGTTATGATATCCTTCATTGTCACTACCTGAATGACTTGGGGAAAAGTTGAAAAGCAGTCGTGGATATTAATGTATCAAACTGCATGTAATGAAATTTCCTGTCACCATTGACTTGAGTTTTTCAAAATGGAAAAGAGAGAGAGAAAAATTAGGTATATTTCTGGTGCATGTTCCATTTGAAAGGTATTGAAACTGAAGCACAAATGTAGTAAAAAGTCAAGGTAGTAAATTTTGCTCCCTCCATAGGCTAACGAGCCTTGTTTAGTCTGCTCCAGCAGATGGGCCATTACGTCCTTGTGTCTGCATTATCAATTTTCTAATGGACTGGTAAATTGTACAAGCTTCCTGTTGCTTCACAAGTAGGCTTTTATCCACTCACGTCCCTGACCAAGTGTCAATCAATGGTAGAGGGTCCTAATGTCTGCCCTGCTGGCAGACTGTGATGGATCACCGCAGTGCCAGGGGTTCAAGGATTGTTCATAGGGGAATCTTTCCTGATAATTATACCTTGGAGTTAGGGGGTTGGGATGGGGTAGTGATTGGGGGGGGAGGGTGAGGTATGAATGCAAAATTTATGAAACTAAGTTTAAAATCAGAACTGAAGGTCAAAAGCATGAATCTCTAGATCTGTTAAAACTTTTTCCATATCATTACAAATAAGGTATAAAATAGATGGTTGAATAATTGTACAATTTTATGGCTAGTTATTTTTAGTTGTAGTTTATAAGAAAGTTAATTTCATAGAAGTTGGATTGCTAAGAATCAATGCACACTAAAAAAATTAACAATGTATAAAAATGTCTTATGTTTTAATTACTGTATGAGCATTGTGCAACAAGGCGTTGTCAACTGTGAAGTCACTTTCATGACTGAGGTTATTCATTGTGTTACAGGGAGGGCAAGTCCAACGCTCATTTAAATGGAGACTACCAGAGGATAGGGGACATTATGACAACCACATTTCCAAAGGTTTTACCAGTGAGTGCTCATCCTCCTTATAAAGATGGAATTTTTTACAAGACATGTGATTTATTGCTGAATTTACCCTGTCAAAATTTTTGTTTAAAGATTAAGATAAATGTAATCATTTCATGCCATGTTCATTGAATGTCAGCAAAAATCAGAAATATACCGGTATGTTTTTCCCAATAGAATGCAACTGTTTATTTCTGTTTATTTTCTATATTAGTAAAGAATACATGTACAATGTATAGTGTTTATGTCACGTACAGTAAGGAATAAAGAATTCTCTTGTGTTCTTTAGCTTTATAGAAATTATCTACAACGACAGGAAGAAATTCTCTTGGACCTGGAGCTGGCGTTAAAGTCCCATAAAGCTTTTGAAGCCATGTACAGAGACTTTGAAAAACAAAAAGTGTGTTATCTCCCTTTGAATTCCTTTCTCCTTAAGCCAGCACAGAGAATTCTACACTACAAACTTATTATGGAGCGTAAGTCATGTGTTCACTCAGATTTATGTAACAAGAAATCATACAATTACACAAAGGCAGCATTATATGATGACAATGATATCATTATGAATACAGTAAAAGACGCTTACAGGTGTAACAAAATGCCAAGGATGGAAAATTTGTTTCATTGTAAACGTATAATGTAACATTTTTTATCCGTTAGATTCACAATGTGTTTAAAACCAATAGGGAATGAAAGTCACTTCTTTATAAGGGTATATTTATTATAAGAGTGTTTGCTATAAGCGAATTTAACTGTATTGTATATAAATTAAAATTGCAGTGATAATTTTGAAAGATCTTTGTTTACTTAATTTATACAGATATAAAATATTTTCTCTAAAATTGGTAAAATGATAACAACTTGAATTGCCTACGGAAATTGCAATTATCTTTATGTTTATTGTATTTTGATGCTGTGCACAGATATTGATGTACTTTAGAAATACAGAAGAAATATTACTGGGTATTTTCAATTTTTTTGTGACTTTTATTTCAGGTTTAACAAAACATTACACACTTGACCATCCAGACTTTTCTGACTGTAAAAGTGAGTATAAAACACTACTGGAAACTTGTATGAAGTGATATCATCCCGGTGATGTTATGATTTTTATAGTCTCTTTGATTTTAAAGAGAGATATGATTCTCTGGAAACAGAACTGTGCATGTAGGTCAATAAATCGGATCTTATTTAGCATAGAAAAATACATTCATCCCAAAATTTGCTGACTAATTTTTTTCCCAAAGCATTTTTGAATTCATATTTTTGTTTTAAATAGTAATATAAAGATTTAGGAATGAATGCCATTTCTTTTCATAATATGGATGTTTTGTATTGTAGATGCCTTAAGTCAGATAAATGCTGTGGTCTCGGAATTTAGTGATTCGATAAGGTCACAGGTAGGTCTCATTCTTTTGAATCTGTAGATTCTTCTGTAGATTCTCCACCCCCCTCCATTATCGTAAGTTTCTACCTCAGTTTGAATTTTGTCTCTCTTTTCAGGAGAATCTCCAGAAGCTGATAGAGTTACAGAGAGATTTAGTGGGGATAGACACACTTGTTCACAGAGACAGGGTGAGAGTGAGATAGAGTTTGTTATTCTCTATCAATATAGATAATTTTTGTCCAGATCTTCAAACATTGCTGAATAGGCCTTTATGATAGAATGATTCAGAAATTAACAAAAATGTTTCCTCCAAAAAAAAAAATTCAGATTCCAAAATTTTTTTGCAATTTGCATTTTGAATTCATTATTTTTTTTATTGTATCATTTAATGGACATGTCTAGTTGCTTATACATTTGATTGATAGTATGTTTTCTACTTTTCTTTGTAGATCTTCATCAGAGAAGGATGTCTACAGAAATTTTCCCGTAAAGGTTACCAGCAAAGAATGTTCTTCTTGGTATGAACAGTCTGGTGTTTTCATTTTAAATTGTAGAATGTCAGTTTGATTATTTAGTTTTGTAAAAGCTTATACTTGATCTTTTGCTTTTGTTTTGTCAGTTTTCGGATTTCTTGGTGTACACTAGTCGAGTGGCGTCCTCTGTTCTCCAGTTCAAAGTTCACGGCCAACTTCCTCTGCGAGGAATGATCGTAGGTTTTCAACAATTTTCCAATATTTGCTAAACATTTGATTCTTTAAAAAAATAATACAGTTCTTTTGTTTGAAATACAAGTATATGAATTAAGTTTTATGTGGTATAAGAGGAGTTGTGGATAAGAGATGGGTACCCCAAAAGCGTTATCAATTTGACATTAAGTTTTATGTGAGTTATCAATTTGACAGTTTTGAGAGTTACATTGCCCTCTCTTGTTGTGATGTTTACAAATGTTTCTCCCATTTCCTTACACAGGTAGAGGAGTCAGACCATGCTAAAATGGCAGTAGCCAACAGCTTCGCAATCTACGGTGGAAATAAATGCATCTTAGTGGCAGCAAGGTTAGATTTGTAGTAGTTGTTTAAACAATTTAATGTTTTTATACAAAAAAAATTGAGAAGTACGTCTTTTAATATTTTAATTTTTAAATAATTTATTGTATTTGCTCTGAATTAAATGAAAAATGTTCTATTGTTTTGTTTTTTAGCTATCAAGAAGAAAAAGACAAGTGGATTGAAGATCTGAATGCAGCCATAATACAAGCCAAGAGTCGAGGGGATGATAAATTCCGATATCCTAGTCTCAAATCCTCAACAAGTAAGTAAAGTGTAGCCACAAGTCACAGGGATGATATATTCAGATATCTTAGTCTTGAATCCTCAAAAAGTAAGGACATGACACAACAAATATTGTTTTTTTGCAATCAATATCCCAGTTTCAAATCTCCCATTGTGAGTACATTTCATACTCAAAATCATGCAGACATTAAGTTTTTGAATCTGGTCTTAAATCCTCAACAAGTAAGCACAGGTGTACCAGATGCCCCGGGATGTTAAGTTTGTATGCCCAAGTCCCATACCCTTATCAAACGCATGATGTGAAAACAATCTGTTCCATGGATGATAATTTTGATAACCCAACTGTCCAAAATGCAATGAAAATAAGTTTATCATTTTCATGAATGTACAAACAAGCCAAAAGATGAAGGGGTAAAAAGCTCTACTAGGAGTTCAGTAAAATGTTATAGTATGAAGGTGGTAAGTTCTGGTCTTCAATTCTTAAAAGACTAAAATCTGAAAAACTAATGGTCATAGGTAATATACATGTTAGTTGTATTATCCTAGTTCCAGAATTCTCTGTAGACAAGTTTGAAAAATACCTCTTTTCATGTGGTTAAGATATGTACATGTGTACAATGTATATGTATTATAAGACTTTATATATTAAAGAATGAAATGCATATAAATTTGTTTCTATTGTTTTCATTTTGATCATCAGAAATAAAATGACTGTATATTGTCTAATCAATTAATAAATATTTGCAGGTTCCTCGGACAATGTAGGGGTGGATGGAGAAGTTAACGGGGTGTCACAAGACAAGAACGTCCAGCACCGGGCCAACACCACCATGCACGTGTGCTGGCACCGGAACACCAGCGTCAGTATGAGGGATCACGAGAGAGCAATTAAGGTATCCACAATAACTGACTGAAAACTGACAATAAGTAACAAACATCAGCAATAGTATCAACAACATCTGACCTAAATCAATCAGAAACTGATATCAAATTAATCAACAATAACTGACCTTAATCAGCAGTAGGTGACCTAAATCAGCAATAATTGACCAAGCTAAATCATCAGTAACTGATCATTGGCAATCGCCAACAACTGAATAAAAACATTGAGAATTTTATGTACCATCAGTTTTCTACCACAAAATATTTATTCAACCTTTGTATTTATGCATGAATATTGATTTATTTGTTTGCTTTATCTCTGAATGCCATAAAGGGAGATAAATGGAGGATATGATGAATTTCTTGTTGACTTTTCAGAACCAGTTGAGTGGGTACCTACTGAGGAAGTTTAAAAATAGTAACGGCTGGCAGAAGTTGTGGGTCGTTTTCACCAACTTTTGCCTTTTCTTCTTCAAAACATATCAGGTATGTTTTTAGTTTGCTCGTCAAATGTAGGCTTGATTCAAATGTGTTTCTGTCTTAAGCAGTATTCAAGCAGATTTCCAAGTCCAACTTTGATGAATTTGACAGCTTCAAGATAATGTCCTCCATTGAAATTAATATTTTTGTGTAAAGTAATAAGCAGTGAATTGAAGAAATTGCTTGTTTTGAGATTTACAGATATAAAAATATACTACATGCCAACTTTTGAAAATTTTCTTGGGAGTATATTTATGCTTTTCAAGTTGTGGCTTGATAAGATTTAAGTATTATACACTGGTACATGTCTTTATTAAGATGCCTTTCTTTTCACAGGATGACTTCCCCTTAGCCAGTCTGCCGTTGCTTGGTTACGCTGTAAACACGCCGGAGGAGGAAGATGGCATTCACAAAGACCATGTGTTCAAGCTTCAGTTCAAAAATCATGTCTACTTCTTCAGAGCAGAATCTGAGTACACATTTGAAAGGTATGGCATATATTTCTAACAGTAATAAATGCTAACTTTATGCATTTTTAACCTTGCATAATGGGAACAAGTAGTCTTGCAGTGTGTGTGGCTTTTGATTTTTCACTTGTTTGAATTTTCAGCATTTTTAACATAAGTATCCTACATTTTTTTATGGTACAGTGAGAATTAAAAAAAATTGTCAATATGACATTTTAGTCTTGTAGAAGAGACATCAATAAGGATTTTTTTTAATCCCTGTATTGTCAATATTTTATGTAGTAGTATTTTATTTCAGGTGGATGGAAGTGATCAACAGTGCAACAAACAGTGCCAGGAGAATTCGCCTCTTTAGTCGATTGGACAGCAATCAGCCAATCAGCTCTTAGCAGTTCTTCTATTGGACAGAAATTAACCAATCAGTTTTCAGCACAAAGCTTTTTTTTTTTTTAATTATTGAATCATGGTATTGAAATATGTTTATTAGAACACATACAGCAGAAGTGGATTTTGCAGTGAAAAATAATTCATTAAATGCAACCACCAAAAAAAAAAGCCTCAACATACAATGTTACATTTATTGGTACATGTACTGTGGAACTGCACCATATCGTATCAAACTAATGTGAACAAGGATTCCATCAAATTTACACAGAGATCATTTGCCTAGTCAAGCTATTCGCACTTTTAGTTTTATGTTTTGTTGCATCTTGTTTTACATGAATAGGTTTTGAATTTTATTCCCCCTGCCAGCAGCTGTATTAGAATCTATGCAATACAATACAATATAAATCGTGTTTATATTTGATGTAATAACAAATTATAGACATTAGGAATCAAAAATGACAACATGCATCCATGTAAACACACTTCCATAAAGGGCCCGAGCCAGATCTAATGTACAATGTTATTCATATGCTGCTACTTTTAATTTCATACTCATTAAGCGTCACCCACAATAACGTGTGTAACCAGTGTATTTTATTTACGATAACTCTGTATTATGCAATTAAAGGAGGAAAAAAAAAATTACACAGAAAGGAATAACATAAGAATTAATGGCAGCATTAGATATGTCTGTGTTGTGTACCCATTCCAGGCTATACAAAATACTAGAACAATGTATCGATGTAAAAGTAGAAATAATGTGTTTATTGTAATAATTATTTTATCATACTTAGGTATTCGTTAGGAAGTTATATTATTTTTTTTTTGTATAAACATATTTAAGGTATTATGGACAGAGTTACTCCTTTTATAATTTCTACAAAGCTGCAAAATCTGGCCTAGGGGCAGTAAAACTTAGACGAGCTCACTTTTGATCTCGGTCTAACTTTTCCCAAAGCAACTAACAGTGGAAAAGTGAGACTAAGCTCAAAAGTGAGTTTGTTTAAGTTTAATGGCTCCTAGGCCTGCACTATGGTAGTGATTTTTTTTAATTTAGAAAGTTTCAACTATAAAATTTTTAGTGTATAGTCTCTGTTTTGTAATAGACTGTTCTAAGCTGTCTACTGTGACTATATACCGAAGACACATGAACTCTATATGAAATTTTGTCGCCTAATTAAGGAAACAGTTAATTATTAATTACCATTTATAATCAGGTTAGGGAGCATTTTATTCAAATACACAAAAACCTTTACATGCTTCAATTTTGTTTTGTTTTTAATTTCTGATAACAAAATTAATTTGCTATTAGCCCATTAAATTTCTCTAAAAACTTAGAAAATAAAATGGATTTGTAGCCTTTACAAAATTTTTTTAAAGCAGTATTTCAATAAGGACTTGGCTATTGCATCCTTTTTTTTTGTAGGAATGTGAAGTTTTTGTTATACATTTAGCTTTTTTGTTTACAATTTTATTTTAGTTTAAGGTTGTTGAGAGAGGAATTTTTATTTAACCTTATTTTTACAAGAGATTTATTTTCTACTCTGTGATTTTGTGGAAGAAAATTTTTAATTAATATTCTAATTCTATATATTTCTAAAGGGGAAAAAATTATCAGTTTTAGTTGCCTAGCAACAAATATTTTGGTGATTGAAAATGAGAGATTATAAAATGATCTCTTGATATGCACATATTTATTTCACCTTTGCTTAAAAGGGGAAAGTTAATTTACCAAAATGAAAAAAAAAATGTGCTAATTAAACTTTAAATATTTGCAAGCTTGTTCAATTCATCTATGATTTATATCAATGCTACATGTAGATAAAAAGCTAACTTTCTGATGCTTTTTGTTTCTTGAAGTCTGTGTTCATTGGTAATTGATGTTCTAAACACTTCACTGAAGAAGTATTGACTATTCTTTATGCATTTAATGTACTTGAAGAAAGGTGCATGATATATGTACCCATTTTCCATTATTGATGAAAAAAAGTATATTTTATTTCAGAATGCAATATAACCTTTGTTGTTTTGAACTTATGAAAGACAATAATGTATTAGAAAATCAAGATCATGTTTAATTACATGTATAGGAGGTTGTCTTTATACATGTAAAACTTCGACACAAGGAATTTTTGTAAAACATAAATGTATCTGGAATATTTATTTTTCCTGGTGCTTATATATCTAGAGAATTGTACATAAGAAATACACAACATGTTAACTTGTGAATACTTTATAAAATGAAATGAATTTTTTTTAACAATAAATTACACTTAAAATTATCATTATTAGTGTTTGAATTCTTATGTAGGTGTTGTTTTTTTTTCTACAACAGCTATGTTTATTCCCCACTAGCTAATGAAGAAAGCATTTGACTTTTCAATAGTCTTTAGCTCTCCATATCTTGTTGCAATATTATGAATACTGAATATATTAATATTACCACCTGAATGAGGTTTGTCTCTCAGATGATTCGATTTGCAAGTACATGTGTTACTTATGACCAATTTTAAAAATGAGACAGCCTATTGTCAATAAAGTTGATTACACAAGGATATCAATCATATTGTAATAAATCAGTACTTATAGGCTTCATAAACTCTATGGTCCATACAATGACGTTTGCAATGTTGATTATCGCTCTTTATACAAATTGTTAGACCATACTTAATTCTTTGTTTGTATGATCATAAGTAAGAATATGGGTGTGACTGATTGACAGGAAGCACTTACTCCTTGGACCTTGTACCTGGCTGGAGAACCATAAACTAATAAAAGAAATTCAATAACTTAAAGTCAGAATTTTAAATCAAAATATATTTTGAAAGTCTGTGTTTTTATCTAGGAAACATTTTTATGTCCCCCTTTGAAGAAGGGAGGGTATATCGCCTTGCTGCTATCTCTTGGTCTGTCGGTCGGTCCATAAGAATATCTAGGACAATTTTTGTTTTGTTTTGGTACAATCGAACAATTTGGTACAGAGTTATGCCCCTTGGACTTAGAAAATGTCCAAATATTTTGGGGAGGGGGCATAAGCGTTTTACAAAAACATCTCTTGTTTAAAAGTTGCACTGGTGTTTTGATAATATTTGAAATCAAACTCAATCTAAATTCTGTTTTATTTCCAAAATAATTTCTAAAATTCTTCAAATTTGAAATAGACTGATTCAGCATATGTGGCGTTGAGGTTAGGTGAAAATAAAATGAGCTCAGTCCACAGGCACTTGTCGTTACATAATTTTAAGAAAAGGAAATAAATTATAATCCCATGCCTGACATTGAATTTATTTGTTGCATTGCTGTTTCATCTTATTGTGACATTATGGCAACGCTTCACCCCCCCCCCCCTCTCTTCCACCCTCTCTAACAAAAAAATACTATAGTTAACTATAGTTAACTATAGTTTACTATAGTTAACTATAGTAAATCAAAGTGTCAAAGTTTTCGTCACGCTCCTTTTTCAATTCTTTTCACCAAAGTTTTTCAAAGTGTCAAAGTTTTTCAAAGTTATTCAAAGTGTCAAAGTTTTCCAAGGAGGACCAAAGTTTTTCAAAGTGTCAAAGTTTTTTTTTCAAAGTGTCAGTTTTCTCCAAAACTAAATTGCCAATAATCAATAGCATATAAGAGCAATTCAGAGATACCTATACATGTACCTCTTTTTTCAAAGTATCAAAGAAGGTCCTTGGCTGCAAATGCAAATATTTAGTTCACTGAACCATATAAAGGAAGAAATTGTTAAGTTTTTCTAAAATTTTACAAAGTATCAAAGAAGAAATTTTTTAAAGTGTCAAATAATTTTTCTGACATTAATTTTTTTGAATCGTTTTTGATAGTCTTTTAAGGATATTTTTCCAAAGTTTTCAATAAGTTTTTCAAAGTATCAAAGTTTTCCTCAAAGCCAGGAAGGATTTTTCAACTCCAAAAATCAATATTTTATTTGAAATGCATCAAAATGAAGATTGAAAATGAAATTTTTTCGTGCAACAATTTTCATGTTATTCATCTTTATAAGATTCAAGGTTTTTGGAAGCAAATATTTAGAAAAGGTCTTATAAAAGTTGACATTTATACCCTAAAAAATTAATAATACAGTTTTTTTTGGAGAGAAGTAAAAAGATTTTCTTGAATCCAACCTTATATAATAATGCTTATTAGCATGATATGATATAAAAAGTGATTTATGGTGGCTTGCAATGATTGCAATTTAAGCCTTTACACTATGTGTTATGGAATATAATTATGACGAAAATAGAAGACAAAAAAATACCAAATAAGTATGAAAATCATAGCAATTTCTCTGAATGCCTGGATACCTATCGTTTTTTAACCTAAAATATATTTTCTTGATCAATTTGCAATTAGAAAATGCATGGCTGATATTCCAGTTCGCTTTTTCTGCAAAAATTTTGGAGATAAATACTGTGGATTAATTTACATAACTATGTGGATTCAGAAATACTTTTATGAGTACCTTTGATTACATAACTGCTAACTTTATAAATCTGAGGATCGGACTACCTTAAACAAATAATCGGTCCTGCTGTGGCATGGAAATCATCAGTTTTAAAAAAGAAATATCAATCATCTTGAGCTAAAATTAAAAAGAAGAAGAAAATTCACAAAATCATGGTTCCCCGCTTTCGGTGTCTTTGTGGGTGAGATGTTATACCCCCCGCTTGAAAAGCGGGATCGAGGGTATATAGTAATCGTTATGTCCGTCCGTCTAGCTGTACGTCCATCTCTTATCCGCAAATCCTCTCATATATCACTGAATGAAATTTGATGAAACTTTCACAGAATCTTTATTCCATATTGTCATTGTGCACCTCCTATTTTACTTTTTGATCCGACACATATTTTGGGTATCCCATAGCAAAACATGGGCACTGCCATTATATTTTATTCATGTGGGAGGCGGGGGTATCATTTAGTGAGCTCATTGCTCACAGTACCTGTAGTTTCTTGTGGCATATTGTTTCAAATATGAACGCCTTATCATATGTCATTCAGAAGTTATCACCAAAGTTGATTATTTTGAAAATTAGGTCAGTCGTCAAGGTCAAGGAGTCAGAAGTCATAGCATGCTCGTAAATATCTTGTGACAGGAAATACATACTAGTATATCAAACTAGAGGTACTGTGAGCAATGAGCTCACTAAATGATACCCCCCGCCTCCCATATGAATATAATGGCAGTGTCCATGTTTTGCTCTGGAAAATCCAAAATATATATGTCAGATCAAAAAGTAAAATAGGAGGTGCACAATGGCAATATGTAATGAAGATTCTGTGAAAGTTTCATTAAATTTCCTTCAGTGGTATGAGAGGAGTTGCGGATAAGAGATGGGTACCCCAAAGCGTAACAGACGGACGGACGGACCGACGGACGGACGGACGGAAATACCGATTACTATATACCCTCCCACTTTTCAAGCGGGGATTATAATAAGAAAGACCTATCTCTTCTTCAAAAGTTATCAGGGAAAATTAACATTTTTGAAAAATAGGTAAAGCTTCAAGGTCAAGGTCATGAGCTCAAAAACCACAAGCAATACACAGGTTTAATATGAAAGCCCTATGTCCTCTCATCCAAAAGTAATGACCAAGGTTAAAGTTTTTGAAAAGTAGTTCAAACTTCAAGGTCATGAGGTCAAATATCATAGTGTATTTAGAAAGGTCCTATCACAGATAATATACAAGGGGGTGATCAAAAAGTTCGCAAACTAATTGAATAACTTCCATACACGAAACAATATTTGGTTTCAATGTTGATTATATTTTAAATTTATCCCCGATTTTAATGCACATCAACCACCGTTCTGCGCATGCACGAATCACGTGATATTGGCGGTCACGTGACCCCCTCCGTAGCGTTCCGTCACAAAAGTTAAAAGATTTTTCCGAGTTTTATATTTCTTTCCATGTGAGTTAATTTTTATGACAAAAACAGTTAATTTGTCAGAAATGGTCATATTTCTGCAACAGAATGGGTGGTTAATAACATCTTTTCCAAAAATAGGCATGGCGAACATTAAAACACAAATCTTCTGTCTCAGGAAAGACCTATTTTTTCAAACTTGCTTTCACTGGGCAAGATGACAAGTATCATTTTTAACCATCAGCCTTCCTTCACTAACACGATTAATCCAATCATTAATTGAATTTATAGGAACTCATTTATCTCAATAAACTGTATACAAATTATTATATGATACTGTAGAGGGATTTCTAAGATATTACAATAAATTGTACAGTCGTTTGTTGAACGACTCAACGAGTTCGACTGAGACAACCATTTTTTGTCACAAGTGACCTAAATAGTGACGTCATTTTCACATTGTGACGTTACAAACAAGGAGAGAAACTTTATTCAGCATATGCTACTTATAGACCTTGTGTATGGCTATGTGTGTACCGAGTTTCATTCTCATCTGAATTGTGGTTTTGTAGATATAAAGATAGTTTGCGAACTTTTTGATCACCCCTCGTACGTGTTTAATATGAAACCCGCTATCAACTCATTCAAAAGTTAAATTCCAAATTTTAAATAATTTTTAATTTCTCTAACAGTAGATCAATCTTCAAGGTCAAGGTCACGGGGTCAAAAATCATAGTGTATTTAGAAAGGTCGTGTCACAGGCAAAACACAGGTCTTGGGTAGTGTATTTAGAAAGGTCATGCCACAGGCAATACACAGGTCTAATATGAAATCCCTATCTCTTCTCATTCAAAATTCATGACCAAGATTAAAGAGTTTGAAAAATAGGTCAAATATGAAGGACAAGAGGTCAAAAATCATAGTGTATTTAGAAAGGTCTTGTCACAGGTACATGTAATACACATATTTAAAATGGAAGCCCAATCTACCCTCATTCAAATATTATCTCCAGTTCAAAGTAATATTTAAATTTTTTAAAAGTAGGTCAAACTTCAAGGTCACGGGGTCAAAAATCATAGTTTACGAATGAGATTTAATGTCTCCTCGCTTTCGCGACAGAGGGGGGCAGTAAATATGGGAAAATTCTTTGAAATTGAGCGTTATACAAATTTAAGTTTATACGTATATGTTGATGCTGTATTATTAAAATACAAGTTTGTATTTTCTACAATAGTTGCCCCGTGAGGATCCGGGTTAGAATAGGTCCTCAGTACCCCCTTGCTTGTCGTAAAAGGCGACTAAATGGGGCGGTCCTTCGGATGAGACCGTGTAAACCGAGGCCCCGTGTTACAGCGGGTGTGTCACGATAAAGATCCCTCCCTGCTCAAAGGCCGTAAGTGCCGAGCA